TCAGCTGTAAAAATAGGTACAGAAGGCTCTGAGGGGTTTACCTTAAGAATAAAATAGTCCTAAGGTTAAGATAATGATCTGGGCATCAGGTATAACCTAGTGAAGTTAACAGGTTTGCAGGTTCAGAGAGTTTAAAGTTGAATATCCAAGCAGAAGTGTTAGATACAGCAATTAGTGAAGAACCTTTGAGTAAACTCCTTAAATAGGTAATATAGAAAAGTTACACATATAGCCAATTGTATACTCTTCTTGTAGTGGTTTACTGAACCACATTTACTATTATTAAATAAAGTTAAAAGATCCAAGAAACATCTTAATACTAAAAAAAAAAAATTAATACAATCAAATTTGTCTGTATTACAAATTAAAAAATAATACAGATAACAAATATCTGATCTTAACTAATAGCAGAAAACAGTTAACCATAATACAAAAAGAATTTTAAAATTTTGTTAATACTAGAATTTGAACTTTAGATCATTACTTGAAGGTTAACAACATGATCACTTTATTATATTACTATGATCTTAATAATATTATATATTAAAGAAATTATATTTATAATTGTTATATTAAATTTTTATAAATAAGCTTTTTTTATACTAATTATTTAACTCTCTTTGTAATTTTTAACCTAATTTTCTTCTAATAAATAATTTAATTTTTCTTAATTTTACAAAACTAATAGTATTTAACTTTCTAATTAAACTTTTTTTTTATAATTTTTTGTTTTAATTTATTTTTTTTTAATATTAAAGTAGAATGTGGTAACTTAGTGAAGTGAATAAGTTGTCAATTCTCCAAGTAATAAGTTGTGAGTTCAAAACTCATGGACAGTAAAAATTTGGATAATTACCTATGTAATATTTATATTATAGCAACTGTTTATAATAATTGAGTTAAAATATCTGTAATTATAGTTACACCAGCATGACTGGCAGATTATGAGGTATTTGTGTAACTAGTTATACAAAGGAATGCAAACTGGCATTAAGCAGTACAAACTCAAAATAAGTCTTTGTAGCTATATAAATCTGTAGAAATTAGAGAATAAAAAGCCTATTTGAAAAGATTCAAATAAAAAGGTAATACAGATCTTTGATGATACTACTGTAAAAACTAAATATAGAAAACAGATACCATTGTTGAGTACCTGGATAGGCAAAAACCTCTGGGTAAAGATACTAACAATTAGGCTGCCAGAAGTCCAACTAAGAGAACCAGAGGAAAAGAATATCAAGTTAATTTGATATATCAATAAACTGATTATAGTTCTACTGAACTATCTGGATTGGAAGTTTGAAGAAAAAACAGAGATATACTAAAAGTATTAGAAATAGAGGTTTGCATTAAGTTCCACAGCCTGGCCTGGCTTGCAAATTTTTGTAAACTAGATTAGACTTAAAGCAAAATTTTATAATTGCAAGCTAGACCAGGCCAGGCTAAAAAATTTGCAAAATTTTATAATTGCAGACTAGTGCAGAACTAAAATTTTATAAAATTATATAAGAAATTTTTGTAAGCTAGGCCAGGCTAAAGAAAAATTTAATATATATAGGCTGAGCTGAACTGACAAAAAAATATTAATTCTAAATGTGAGCCAAGCCAGACTAAAAAAAAATTTTAATTCTAATGCAAACTAAGTTGAACCTTAAAAATAGGCAATTTGCAAACTTCTAATTAGGAATATACTATAAAGTAAGTACTAGAGTCTGGATGAACTCTGCAAGAGCAAGCCCTGTTAATGTTCCATAAAGTGAGTAGATAGTTAACAGAAGGGCTTTTCGAGCCTTATAGTTAAGTGACATGCTCTAAAATTAGGTAACAGTTTAACAGATGTACAGAAGAAAGGCAAAATATTAAGTTAGATAGCACTTAGATATACAGAAACTAGAGTAGTTAATTGTTTGAATATAGTATAGGAATCAGAATGTTAATAAATAGTCTTTTAGCAGATTATAGATATGACAGCTAATGTAGAACCCTTAAGTGGACTACTTAAATAAGTAAAAAAAAGTTATATATATAGTTAGTTGTATACTTATCTTGTACAAATAATATATAATGTATTTACTAAAAGCACAAATAAAGGCATTAGTCACTATTAACATTAGCTTTAATTAATAAAAAATATATATATATTAAGATAAGTACTTGTGATCCAGTCTTTTATTAATAATATAATTCAACTTTGTAATTGTATTATAACAGTTACAAGAAGCAATTATAAGAAAAATATATAACTAGTTATTTGTACAACTTTAGTTATTATCTAATTTAAGTAGTTTGTTCAAAGTTCTATACTAGCTGTTATATTTAGAACCTGTCTATAAGTTTTCTATTTAAGCATTCTGGTTTTTGTATTTATATATATACCTATTCTACTAACTGTCTTAGTTTTTACTAATACAAATATATTATAATTACAAGTTTTTAAAACAGTTTATTTATATAGAGAATCTTTAACTTTGTACTAAAAGATATAGTAACTTAGTGAATTAGATAAGTTGTCAAACAACAATAAAAATTTAAACAATCATTTATATAATATATAGACAGTATTATAGTGACAGTATTCTGTTAATTTGTTAAAATAAGATACTTGTAATTATAGTTGCACTAGCATAATTGGCAGATTATAGAGCATTTGTATAATTTTGATTATACAGAGAGATGCAAACCAGTATCAGGTAGTGCAAATCTAAGATAAGTTCTTGTAACTATATAAATTTATAAAACTAAAAAAAAACTGAAACTTATTTAAGAAAATCTAAGCAAAAAAGTAATACAGATCTTTAACAATATTACTATAAAAGCTAAATTTAGAAAACAGATATCTATGTAAAGAAATTAAATGAGCAAGTAAAGGGTACTACTAATCAGATATTAGACTTAATATATTAAGAACAGGTTATAGTTCCTCTGAGCTATCTAGATTAGAAGTCTATTTATTATCAGATGATTGTTGTGGTTTAAGCAAACAGAATTAAACTTTAATATGCCCATTGTCTTGGGACAACTAGCTTGAACTTGCCACTGACATCCAATACATTTGCTATGTGTCTGCCATTGATTTTCAGCAATACTAGTCTTGTTCGTACCACTATGACCTTGATGTTCACAAGCGTATCGACGATTTCTACAAATTCCATCACTGTATTCTAATCTACGTATGACACTCACAAAATTTTGTGATTTTGTGTAAAATAATATAAAATGATCAAGATCATCCCAACTACAAAACTCTTGTTCAGCAAATGGTGCATTCATTGTTTCATTTGAACTATTATCACTTATTATTTGAAGTTAATAAGAAGATATTTAGAGAAGTATTTGAAAGTGTTATAAACAAAAAACAAAATTCAAAAGCCAGACTTACTGTATTGCAATATCTGACTCAGATGGTCTAGTTGAATTATCATCACTAATATTTGATGTTTAAATTAGAAGGTATTAGAAGAGTATTTTGAAGTATTATAAATAAAAACAACTCAAAGAAGGCTAGATTTACTGTACTGAAGTATCTGAAAAATTTTCTTCATATGGCCTGGTTGCATTATCATTGCTTAAAATTGATGTTTAATTAAAAGTATTAGAAGAGTTTTGAAAATGTTATAAATAAAAAACTAAATTCAAAGAAGACTAGACTTATCACACTGCAATTTTTGAAAATGGATCTTTAAAAGATCTGATTGCATTATTGTCACTAATATTTATGTTTAATTAGAAGGTTATGAATAAAAAAACTAATTTTAAAGAAAGCTAGACTTATTGTACTGCAATATTTGAAAACAGCTCTTCAAAAGATCTGGTTATATTATCATCACTAATATTTGATGTTTAATTAGAAGGTATTTAGAAAAGTATTAAAAGTGTTATGAATAAAAAATCAATTTTAAAGAAGGCTAGGCTTACTATACTGCAATATTTGAAAACAGCTCTTCAAAAAGTTCTTCGCTTTCTATTTTTACTGTATAAAAGAAGCTCTAATAAACCAATTTTTGACTAGTTTTTAGAATCTGAAAAAAGAATAAAGAATGATCAGGTTCGTTAGTTAGATATAAAAAGGTGTTTTTAAACCTTCTGGTCCGAAACAAAAGTCTCGATTTGTAATAGAAATTATTTAATGTAAAGCAAAAAGAGCACATCCAACAAGAAACGAAAAAATGCACAAGCAAGTTAAAAAAGCAGGTTTGTAAAGTAAAACTAACCTGTGTATGCCAAACTAATGAATAACAATATTTTGTTTTTAAGTGAAAGAGGGTCAATTACACATGATTGAACTTATATTTATATTATGCATATATCAGAATAAACTCGGCAAACAATATCGCTATTACTATTTTTGTATATTATAGTGTCGTATAGGTGCCCTTATGTCAAAAAAATCCCAGACTGAAGATCGCTGAAGATCACTTCTGACCCTATCCGGATCCAATAAAATCACATGATCTTGTGTAACAAAACAAATGTGAAAAATATAAGAAATTGTAAAAAAAACATAAATAACACAAAAAGTTACTATAATAATTAACTTCTGACCTCTAAGTAAAAGTTTTCAGAATAAAATTTTACTTATAAAACACAATTATTAATATTAGATATATAGTGAATTTTTGAGATACTATGATTTAAATTTTTTTGGCTGGCAGCTCAGAATTTCCTTGACATAAGGGCACCTATGTCAGGGTATGTATGACGAACCCTGACAACTCCGATGCATTTGTGTAATCAAAATAATAGGTACACAAATTATAGATATACCCTATAGGTACATCTATAATTACCCTTAATTAATTAATTTTTTTTTAATTTTTTATTTAATTTTTTTATTTAATTTTTTTTCTTGATTTTTTTAATTTTTTTTTAATTATTTATTATATATATACTACTATTTCTTTATGTTTCACATTTACTTTTTTTCTTTTTTCTTTTTTCTATAATGCTAGTTTTTTTATCTTCTATTTTATCAAATTCCACCCTATCTATCCAGTCTGTCTTTTCAATATCTTCTTTATACATTTCATTGACTTCCTCTTCAGCTTCATAGTCCATCTTTCTTTTATATATTTTATCAATTTCTTCTTTGTAATCATTCTCTATCATATTAGCATCTTCTTCTTTATCATTACTTTTTTCACTATTCTCCTTCTCTGAATTTTGATTATTATCATCACCTAAATTCTGCTCAATTTCATCTTTTTAACAACAAATGAATTAGT